TATTGGGGCACAAGCAAAGTATCCCCAAATTCAAGAAAATTGAAATCATAAAAAGCGTCTTCGCAGACCACGATGGCATAATATTAGAAATAGACTACAATAAAAACAACCCAAAATACTCAAACACCTGAAAGCTGAATAGCATGTTATTAAATATTGATTGGGTTACCAATGAAATCAAAGAAGAAATTCGAAACATCCTGGAAACTAATGACAATGAAAACACAACAATCCAAAACCTATGGGACACAATGAAAGCAGTCCTGAGAGGGAAGTTTATAGCTCTACAGGCCTATCTCAAAAAACAAGAAAAAATGGTAGTAAATCATCTAACTCTACAACTCAAAGAATTAGAAAGAGAGCAACAAGAAAACCCCAGAGTGAGCAGAAGGAAGGAGATAATAAAGATTAGAGCAGAAATAAATGACATAGAGACCAAAAAAACAATACAGAAAATCAATGAAACCAAGAGCTGGTTCTTTGAAAGGATAAACAAGATTGACAAACCTCTAGCCAGACTCACCAAGAAGCAAAGAGAGAGGACCCAAATAAACAAAATCAGAAACGATAGAGGCGAAATAAAAACAGACCCCACAGAAATACAAATGATTGTTAAAAAATACTATGGACAGCTCTACTCCAACAAACTAGACAACCTGGAGGAAATGGACAAATTCCTAGAAAAATACAACATTCCAAAACTCAATCAGGAAGAATCTAAAAATCTCAACAGGCCAATAACTATGGAAGAAATTGAAGCAGTCATCAAAAAGCTTCCAGCAAACAAAAGCCCAGGACCAGACGGCTTCACAGGGGAGTTTTACCAAACATTCAAGGAAGAACTGAAACCTATCCTCCTCAGACTACTACAAAAAATTCAAGAGGAAGGAACACTTCCAAGCTCATTCTATGAAGCCAGCATCACCCTAATACCAAAACCAGGTAAAGACAACACAATGAAAGAGAATTACAGGCCAATATCCCTCATGAACATAGATGCCAAAATCCTCAACAAAATCTTAGCAAATCGGATCAAGCAGTACATCAGAAAGATCATACACCATGACCAAGTAGGATTTATCCCAGGGATGCAAGGATGGTACAATATCCGCAAATCAATAAACGTGATACATCACATAAACAAATTGAAAGAAAAAAACCACATGGTCATATCAATTGATGCAGAAAAAGCATTTGACAAAATTCAACACCCATTTTTGATAAAAGCTCTCAGCAAGGTGGGAGTAGAAGGATCATACCTCAACATAATAAAAGCCATATATGACAGGCCCACAGCCAACATCATACTCAATGGACAAAAACTAACACCATTCCCCCTAAGAACAGGAACAAGACAGGGATGCCCCCTCTCACCACTCCTCTTCAACATAGTACTGGAAGTGTTAGCCATTGCAATTCGGCAAGAAGAAGAAATAAAAGGCATCCAAATTGGAAAAGAGGAAGTAAAACTGTCCTTATTTGCAGATGACATGATATTATACATACAAAACCCTAGAGACTCCATCAAAAAGCTACTGGACTTAATACATGAATTTGGCAATGTAGCAGGATACAAAATTAACCCCAAGAAATCCGAGGCATTTCTATACACCAATAGTGAACTTTCAGAAAGAGAGATTATAAAAACAATCCCGTTTACCATCGCACCAAAAAAATTAAGCTACCTAGGAATAAACTTAACTAAAGAGGTAAAAGACCTCTACTCAGAAAACTACAGGACGTTGAAAAATGATATAGAGGAAGATATAAACAGATGGAAGAACATACCGTGTTCATGGATTGGTAGAATCAACATCATTAAAATGTCCATACTACCCAAAGCAATCTATAAATTCAATGCACTTCCCATTAAAATACCAATGGCATACTTCAGAGATCTAGAACGAACTCTCCAAAAATTCATCTGGAATAAAAAAAGACCCCGAATAGCTGCAGCAATCCTGAAAAAGACCAAAGTAGGTGGGATCTCAATACCAGATATCAAGATGTATTACAAAGCCACTGTTCTCAAAACTGCCTGGTACTGGCACAAGAATAGGCATATAGATCAATGGAATAGAATAGAGAGCCCAGAAATCGGCCCGAACCAATATGCTCAATTAATATTTGACAAAGGAGGCAAGAACATACAATGGAGCCAAGATAGTCTCTTCAATAAGTGGTGCTGGGAAAATTGGACAGATATATGCAAGAAAATGAAACTAGACCACCAACTTACACCATACACAAAAATAAACTCAAAATGGATAAAGGACTTAAATGTACGACAGGAAACCATAAAAATTCTAGAAGAATCCAAAGGCAACAAAATCTCAGACATATGCCGAAGCAATTTCTTCACTGATACAGCTCCTAGGGCACTTGAAACGAAAGAGAAAATGAACAAATGGGACTACATCAAAATAAAAAGCTTCTGCACAGCAAAAGAAACCATCAACAAAACAACGAGAAAACCCACTGTGTGGGAAAACATATTTGCCAATGTCATATCTGATAAGGGCCTAATCTCCAAAATTTCTAGGGAACTCATACAACTTAACAAAAGGAAGATAAACAATCCAATCAAAAAATGGGCAAAGGACCTAAATAGACACCTTTCAAAAGAGGACATTCAGAAAGCCAAGAGACATGTGAAAACATGCTCAAAGTCACTAATCATCCGAGAGATGCAAATCAAAACAACAATGAGGTACCATCTCACACCTGTCAGACTGGCTATCATCAACAAATCAACAAACGACAAGTGCTGGAGAGGATGTGGAGAAAAAGGAACACTTGTGCACTGCTGGTGGGAATGCAGACTGGTGCAGCCACTATGGAAGACAGTATGGAGTTTCCTTAAAAAACTGAAAATGGAACTCCCATTTGACCCTGTGATCCCACTTCTAGGAATATATCCCAAGAAACCAGAAACACCAATCAGAAAGGATATATGCACCCCTATGTTCATAGCAGCACAATTCACCATAGCTAAGATCTGGAAACAGCCTAAGTGCCCATCAGTAGATGAATGGATTAGAAAACTGTGGTACATCTACACGATGGAATACTATGCTGCTCTAAAAAGGAAGGAACTCTTACCATTTGCAACGTCATGGATGGAACTGGAGAGCATTATGCTAAGTGAAATAAGCCAGTCAATGAAGGAAAAATACCACATGATCTCACTCATTCATGGATAATAGAGACCATTATAAACTTTTGAACAATAATAGATACAGAGGCAGAGCTGCCTCAAACAGATTGTCAAACTGCAGCAGGAAGGCCGGGGAGGGTTGCGGGGCAGGAGGTAGGGGGGTAAGAGATCAACTAAAGGACTTGTATGCATGCATATAAGCATAACCAGTGGACATAAGACATTGGGGGATAGGGGAGGCTAGGGGACTGTCTAGGGCGGGGGGATAAAATGGACACATATGTAATACCCTTTGTAATACTTTAAGCAATAAAAAAAAAATAAAAATAAAAATAAAAAAAAAAGAAAATCTCTCTTCTCTCTCTCTCTCTCTCTCTCTCTCTCTCTCTCTCTCTCTCTCTCTCTCCCTCTCTCTCACACACACACACAGAGAGAGAGAGAGAGAGAGAGAGAGAGAGAGAGAGAGAGAGCGAGAGAGAGAGAGAATATTATTGAGCCATAAAAAAAAAAAAAAAAAAAAAAAAAAATTCACCATCAAGACCAGAAAGGCAGAATTTCAGATCAGCCTTCCTCTCTTTCCATGTCACCCCTTACATTCCTTCAGGAAGGGACAAAGCCTTTCAATCCAGTTAGAGATGTCTTCCATCAAGAACTTGACTCACTGATGACTCTCAATAAGTGTTCTAATTGACTTAAGAATTTCAGGCTGCATTCTTCAACTCCAGTTCATAGTTTTTATGGAGGTCTTTTGGTTAAAATATTAACAACAGCAAATATGCCCACTCCCACTGATACAAAACCTATCTATCTTTGAGTTAGGGGAGGAAGTATGACAGACTGGAGACATGAAGTGCCTAGAATTTAAAGTAAGGTCATCCTCTATAAAAAATAAATAAATATTTAAAAAAAGGAAAAAAGTACCAAAAAGGCAAAGCAGCATGAGTTGAGGAAATCAAACTTAGATTCCATGATGCTGCTAAGGATAAGTTTAATTCATCATTAGCTTGGAGGAGACAATGAAGCATGTGCGCAGAGGTACTTTTTATCTCACAGCTGCACACCCAGGTAGCTTCAAATGATTCATGAAGATTTTATTTTAGTCTTCAACACATCTGACTTCATATACTAGTAAAGAAGCTATGTTCCTAGGATTCTGAGAATGGCTTAGACATGTAAAGATGGGTCAGTGAGCCACATTAAAAATTATTAAGTCCTTACAACCAAAAGGCTATCATTTAAAATTTAAGGAGAAATAAAGACTTTTATTTAGACAAGACAAAGTTAAAGGAGTTCACCACCACCAAACCATATTACAAGAAATGTTAAAAGGTTTTCTTTAAGAAGAAGAAAGAAAAGATTAAAAATAAGAACAATAAAAAGGTAATAAATACATGTCTATCAACAATTGAATCTAAATAACAAAATAAATGAACAAGTAGAACAGAAACAGACTCATAGATACAAAGAACATTTTGTCAGATGGGAGGAGGGTGGGGGATAGATTAGAAAGGTGAATGGATTAAGAAGTACAAATTGGTTGTTACAGAATAGTCATAGGGATGTAAACTACATCAGAAGGAATTCGTCAATAATGTTCTAATAACTACATATGGTGTCAGATGGGTATGAGATTTATGAAGATGATCACTTAGTAAGGTATATAATGTCTACGCTGGGTTTTATACCTGAAACTAATATAATATTGTATATCAACTGTAATTGAAAAACAAGAATATAAAAATAAAGAAAATTATTAAGTATTGCTTGTAGTTATAGGAATCCTGAGAAAGAGACAGACACACACGCAATCAAATTATGTTTAAATTAAAAAGCCAACACCTACACTCCAGTCCAGAGTTGCTCTGGGCTCCTTCGCTGGACCATTTGCCACAGGAAGACCGAGGGGATGAGCAGGAGTCAGGTGCTGCAGGCCTGCCCGGGAGATTGCTTTCCTGCAGCAAGAAAGATAAACACACAAAGAAAAAGCACATCAGAAGGTAGTACAGAGCAAAAAATTTCCCATGGGGTAGAAAGGATGCATGAGTTAGTCTTCTACATGTGCAAACTGTATTGGAATATATCTCTTTAAAGTTCATGGTGAAGGTAGAAGGTTGGGAGGTCTCAAAGATAAGGAGGTTGAGGGGGTCACTTTGGGACACTACTTCAGGATGACAAATTAAAACATAAGTCCCAGTTGAAATCAGAGGGCAGAATGGGTTGGGTAGACACAATACTTGGACAAGTTTAAAGCTGCCAGACAGTAAAAGCAAGAAAAGCAGGCTCATGAGGTCTTCTATTGAAATTCCTCCACTTCCCAACCAAAGTGCTCTTCAAGCTGGCCACATCACCAGGTTTACTCTGGCTCCTCTTAGGAACATCCTTCCTTTCTCTTGAAGATTTGTACAGGTAGCTCGAGGTTCTAAATGGGAGAAGACTGAGTTGTATCTGCCAAGAAATCTCAAACACTGAAAAACCAGTATCTTACCAAGGTCCCGGCAAGAAAAAATTCTAGAACGTGTTGTTTGGACTTTAGGTTTATTGAGTGGAACATAAAAGGATTCAGGTGAGAAAGGTGGGAAAGGTTAAGAAAGTCAGCCCTGACTTTGATCTGCAAAGATAAGAAAGAAGAGGAGCCCCTTTAGCAAGCAACTATAACTATTGCTGAGAAAAGGAAAGGGAGGCAAGATAACAATGTGGGGAGAATGAGAAGAGCAAGATAGAAGGAGAAAGCAGGGTTCACCCAGGGAGATCCTGTAGTATCATCATGAATAACAGAGGTCAGTTTCCGAACATCTCCATCAAAAAACGCCAAACAAAGGTCTTCAGCTTAAATATGAGTGCTCGGGCGTGAATTAACTACTAGTAAGAAGTTCCTAGAAGGGCCAGGAGCTTTCCCTCTGCAGAAGTGACCAGATGTGCTCTGAGAATTACCTGAGCTAGAATTAGGTGGATCTTGTGACGCTGCAGCTTTGAGTCCTCCTGATCAGTCTGAGGGCGAGGCCCGGGAATTTGCATTTACAAATGCATATTCCTTCTGTAAGCTAAAAGTTTACAAACGTCTCTATGGGTATCTGAAAGGATTTTAATCTAAAATGGAACTGGAGAATATGAAATGGAGAATCACACACATGAGCCCTCAGGAAAAACAAGAACTGAGAGACTGATTTCCCATAAATGCCTGATTTATAGGAGAACGAAACTTATCCGTGGACCAATAATCATTTGCCAAGAATCTCTCCCCACCCTTCAGCCAATGAACTTGCTGTTTGGACTCTGGCTAGGCTCGCATCTCCTTGCCGCTTTGCCCATAAAAACAGCTCACCCCAAATCATTAACAGACTCACCTGTAGCTTGCTACAGTCTGTGTGTCCTGAATTGCAATTCTCCTGCTAGTCCCGAATAATCTCAATTTCTGGTAATTCGATCTTGGGTCAGTTTACCTCTTAATTTAGGTTGATAGGGCAGGTGGAAGAGCACTAACTTACCCAGGCCCATCAAGGGGGAGCCCTGAAGGAAATCACCAGCAAGTTCATTGTGCACTTCACCCCATTAGCTCTCTGCAGCCTGTTTCATAGAACGTGAACATCTGCCATCTGTTACTGGACCCACAGAACACCAGTCCCCTGAGAGGCCCAGACCCTCAGACTCCTTCACCCATCTCACTCTACAGAGAACCAAGGTTCCAGACAGTGAGATGGGGGAAAGACAGGCAGTGATGCCCAATATATGGTGAATCCCATCAACTGAGCCATCGAAGGAAAAGGAACTTGCCGGGGTAAAAGAGAGGAGTGAGAGCAAAATCTAAAAGCGTCCTTGGGCCCTAGAAGGCAGATGATCTCACTGTACTGTTCACAGAGCCCTGCAGACTCCACCCAGAAGTAGAATTTATAAAGTTGAGAGATGAGCAGCAGCTCACAACCTGAAGAAAAGCTGGGCAAGAATCCAGAAATGAACCCAGGACTGTGCAGCCACTAGTCAACGACCCACACATGTGCCCTGAGCAAGTGTCCAGCCCTTAATATACTCATATTCCTGCACAGGAAGTCCCAGAATAGCGTCTGGGTCTTCGGTAGTCAGAAGTGATCACATCAAGCTTGCCCGTAGCTGACTTTCGGAAGCTCCCACCAGGCAGCAGGCAATGTGCTTGCTTTATATAAGCCCCCACAGAGTCATTACAAGTATGTAGGCCTTTAATGAAGACAGCCTGAGGACATGATATTCTCTTTCCTCACTTTCACCAAAGCAAATAATTAACAACATCAATTTGGCCCCTCACCCCAAAGTATATTCTATTTTATTGAGCAATAAGAAAAGAATGCTGGCCTCGACAATAAAGATAATTTTTTTAATTCAGAAAACAAAGAAAAGAATAATGGAGAATTCTTATATGGTGATCCTTTATCCCCTCCCAAGTGTTTTTCCTCCACCTGAGTTCAAGGAGCTTCTTTAACATTTTTAATCTGGACTTTTCCCTGGCTTTGAAGGACTTGGTATAGTGATTCTGAGTTAGTTTTCATCACTGAAAAAAATCAGATCTCTGTAGAGTCAGAATCTACAGGTTTCACCACAACCTACTGTCATAGTAAAAAACCACAAGACAAATGAGTTTAACTCATGAGATGTCGTAGACTGGGACAACCAAAACCTGACTACTCTTCCTAATTAGGACAGCCAGGAGGGGCATATTGTTCAAATAATCAAGTTAGGATGCAAGGACTGTATGAGTCTGTAGGAGAGCAATGGGGCTGTACAATGAGAGACATACAGACATTCAACCCTGGCTAACTCCTGCAATGAAAGTACAGTCAAGTCACACTCCTGCCCAGCCTGTGAATAGAAATGATTAATTAAGGGCTTTTGTGGATTATTTATTCCTCATTGTGGAAGCAAATTAAAGGGTGGTTTTCTGTAACATTAATAGAAGAAAACTGTGCTATCTACTACACATAAAAACATCAATTAGGGGGAATATAAGTAAGAAATATCAAAGTGGCTGCCAGTTTGTAACTGTAAATGGGCCTCACAAAAGGTCATTACATAAGAAAGCAAAGAAGAGAAATATATATGGGGGATGGGAGGTAACTTCTCATTACAGCTTTCCGTTCTTCTAAATAAGCATGGGAAAAAATACGTTTTTGCAATAGTTCACATATGTATACACATTTTCTTTCAAAATAAGAAAATAATTTCATCATTTCTCAGACCTTAAATAAAATTAGTATGAGTTGCTTTTCTGTTTGGATTCATTTCGGTTGACAAGATGACATTTAATAGTCTGGCAGAATGTGGTGTGTTTGGGGTTGGTGTATGTATGTGCAGGGGGGACACAGGGATTTTACGTTTCAACTTACTCCAATACAAAAATCAATGGGGTTTCAATTTCTCATTCTTTTCTTCTGCTCAGAATCCACTCAAACCCACAGTCAGGAAAACCATGAAATGCCAATGACTCTATTATATTAATTTTATAACACTTTGTTGGGGATGACTATAATGGCAAAAATATCTTTGAAATGAAGAAAGTGCCAGGAAAGACCTTTAATAACATATTTCAAGTGTAAACGCCATCATACATTTTATATAGCATTCTATTATTTCCTTCACTTCATTCAGTACGACTATAAACTCCTAAAGGACAGTGCTCAATTCATCTACTAATCTTGTTACATGCTAGCCCAGGGGTAGACACAGCATAAATTCAGTAAATGCTTTCTGAGTTCATGAATGAACTTGACCAAGAAGCTAAGCAAAACAGCTAGCTTGATTAGATCAGTGGTTGAGAAATCTGATTAGGATGATCTGAATTATATTCTAGGCCTCACACTTCAATGATATTCTTTCTTAAGAGGGCCAGAAATCCTTCAATGCAGCTCTTTAAAGATAAAGACAAATAGGGACAGAATTTAGCGTTTACCAGTAGAAGCCTAAGACATCAAAATGGCTTGGTTAAAAAAAAAAAAAATGGCTTGGTAGTCAACATTAAAATGGAATCCTATTGCTACAACATTAGTACAGGGCATGTGATAGTGTTAATACCTTTATAATGTCTTGATTGAAAGAAATATGTAGCATAGACTCTTCATAAAAGAAATATTTAAAATTGTATGGGAAAGCATGTAAATAAGTGGTTATTTAACAAAGATTCCCTCTAATTATCCATTTTGGTTCTACTCGTCTTCTAGGTTTATAAGGCTCCCACATTCAATCCATCCCCATCTTGCCAACTCCACCACCCAGTGACCTGACCTGTATGAGAGGATGAGGAGAGAATGAGGAGCTCACATGCTAAGAGTAGAAGCACCAGAGAATCAGGAGGTCCCCTAGCCAGGAAACTTCCTAAGACAAGCGATTGACACATTAGAGATTGGCAAACTCATCTTCTGGTTCTACAGAAGGAACCAGCAACTGAAAAGTTTCTCTGTGCCTTGGTTTAATTCCCCAAGTGTCTTAAGAGAGATCTTAATCACTGTGTGTGTAGGTATTTTCACACACCCCCCCCCCATCCAATATTGCCGTTAACTTTGCTTATATTCAAAGCCACCTGCAATGTTAAGGATAGTTCCCACAATAAAAAACAATTGTCCCAAGCCCCACACAAATTCCAAATACCCCACCAGTGATTCATGTAAGGGAACAAAACGTATGTAATTATTTGAAACCAAATCCTAACCCATATTCTATATGAATTCAAAGCATTTATTGATGAAAGGATTTTCAGTCATTTAGAAGATCGCTTTTGCTATTGAATCTTCGACACAATCAATATGCCTGTATGATTCTACTTTTAATCAAGAGGTCCCCTTAGCCAGGAAATTTCCTGGAGCAAGCGATTGACACATTAGAGATTGGCAAACTCAGCTGTCACTCACAGCGACTCTCCAGCAGCGGTGCGCAACCTTTGTCTGTGGCGGGGATTGAGAACCAGTCTGTCTAAAGCATTCCAATCTCTCCC